GATGAGACACACGATCGAGTCTTATCCCGCCTGTTCGAGGTCACCATGCTAACAGTTTCCCCTTACTTCCAGTCCTTGTGCTAAGCTAGGCTAATCACCCATCGCTGTCACTCTCACAGAATCTGCTGCAGAACAAAAGGATCAAACTTTCTTTGTGTTTTTGTTCATTTAACAAGCCGCAGGGAGACCGACCACTCGTTAGCATCGAATTAATTGGTGCAGCCAATTAACTGGGCCAAGTGGCTGCAGGGAGAGATAGATGGTCGAGAGACACCAGCAGTCACTGGAGACTTTCAGGCTGCCGGGGTTGTTAATTATTGATCAGTCAGCAACTTCCTGAAAATAGCTCCCTTCATCACCTCCTCCTCCTCCTCCTCCTCTCTAGGAAGAAAAAAGTTTCATGACCAACAAAGACGATTCAGTCTCGCTCTGATTTCTGAAGGACTAAACGGATTCTTCACATCATCATCATCATCATCTCCACACATCTCATCAAACAACAGCAGAAACAGTCCAAACCCTTCTTATGTGAGCGCCCCCTTCAGGACACACTCTACCATCACTCTTTGTTCTCCTGTCTGCAGGGCTGACAGCGGCGGCAGCGATGGCCGAGATTCTGAGGCTCCAGAAGATGCGGATGATGATGCGTTTCCATGGCAGCAGTGATCAGCAGCGACATCACAGCAGACCCGAGTCGGAGAACGAGGACACGGGTTCGATTCCATCCGTTTATTCCAATCTGACACTATAGCAAAGGACAGCACCAAAGTCTAAACCTTTGTTCCCTCAGCAGGAGGCAGCGAAGGATCCTGGGAAAAGGAGCAGCAGCTCCTCTCTCCTCCCCCCTCAGTTGTAGCGCCTCCTGCTGGTTCGGCATCCCTACATTTCAACACTTTGCAGCAGCAGAGCTCGCTGTTAGCCAACCGTGAGTCACCGCTCTCTTCTCATTGGACGCCTGATCATTGTTAGCTTAGCGTCACAGCACATAACTATCTGTATCCGCCCTCCTCAGGCCTGTCAGACCTTCCATTTATGGTTATGCCACATCCCATCCTCCCTGTGGGCTTGCCTCCTGCCAATGTTGCTATGGCGATGAATCACATGAGTCAGCTCAGTGATTTAGCAAACATGGCCGTTGTGTCACAGGTCCACACAGAAGAGAGCAAGGTAAAAGCTAGCAGCAGCAAAAGTACCAGAGCTAATGCCAAAAGAGCCAATGCTAAAGGGGCTAATGCTAGCAGTGTTAATATTACCAGCACTAATGCTAACTGTGTGTTCAGGAGTCTCCTCTAGGTAGCCCCTCCCCCACTCCCAGCGATGATGAGCTCCACCCACAGGAACCAACCAGCCAATCGCCTTCTAGGGCATCTTCATCATCGTCATCATCACCCCTTCCACCAGCACACACACCAGAGCTGGGTAACCACTCACAGTAGACATACTTATGTGAACTATGACAGCTTTGCTTTGTCGCCTACAAGTCCCCGTAATGT